AAACTTCTCCCCCGGATTTATTAGTAAGATAAGAGGAACATCAGATCGTCCTCTTTCCTCTTATGCCCTTCCCACACCAGACGCCCATAAACTCAGAGAGGGCGCTCCGCCTTTCCCGGGGGGAGAAGGGGGGTATCTCGGTTCTCGTTCATTGTGGCGGCGGGGGGGGCGCCCTGACACCACCTACGCAATTCTCACCAGGAAAGCAGCTTCCGCAAAGCGGGTCGGATCCGAAACAACCAAGCTTCATTGCTTTCCCCATCTCTGCCCCAAGTATCCTCCTAACACGGCGATCAACACCCCCGGGGAGGAGGATCCTCCGCAATTTACCTTCGCCTCGCTTCTCCCCAGCATTCGCTCGCCGGCACCAACCTAAACTCAACCGCTTGATTTGTTTGCTTTCGTTCGCTCCTTCTTTCCATGCTCGGCCCCGCCCACCGGGTCGTGCGCCACAGTCATAACCACGCCCACACAAGAATGCGAATTCATGGTAGGAGCCACCCCTCCATGACTTTAGGGCATCCTGGGAATTGTAGTTTAAAAAAAGAAACTCGAGAAAGCAGAAATACATCAGCTCCAGTTTTGGTGGGAAGAATGTTAATCTCTTGCCTTGTAATGAAAAAAAACTCATTTCACATCTCTCAGCAGGCAGTATTAACGTCAGAGTGTTTCTTGTGAAATACCATTAGGGAATGACTGCGATCTGATTGGAGAGAGTAGATATCCACTTCCGCCCGAAATAGAAAATTAACGGAACATTTTGCTCCAGGAGGCATTAAAAAAAGTTGTTAGTTGATCGGCTAGATCAGAAATGTACCATCACTCATTTGGAAGAAACAGAAATACCCTTCTATATCCCAAAAGGATTAGGCGGTGATGGAAAAGATTATAGGAAACATCCTATTTTATTGGACTCTTATCCTCAGATTGACTGACCTGGGTATTATTTTGCTATGCTAGGATTATGAATTCAGTTATACCAATTAAATTAATTGATTTAGAATCTTTTGAATTGGGATTAGAACTCAGGAAAGAATATTCGGGGATACATCATTTTCCTATTCCTCAATTTAAGAAGCTATATGTGGGAATGGGAAGCTGGAGGAAGGCAAAAAACAGGAAATTGGGGACATGAGGGGAAGGTTTTGGATGTCATTTCCTGGCTAGACAATAATCCAGTGTCCCTCAGGAAGAAGCTTTAAATTGTACAGAGATTAATACAGTAAGCATTCAGATAGATAGATAGATAGATAGATAGATAGATAGATAGATAGATAGATAGATAGATAGATATGCATTTTTAAAGAATGAATATTGAAAGCACATCACCTATGTTATGTTCATACATTATACTAAATAATGTCTTGTTTATGGCATGTTGAACTAGCATAGTGGCTGGTTTGCATATCATGAGAGTCATAAACCATAGTTCATGAGCTAGCAGATGGACTTACACTTTTCAACTAGATCAAACGCTATGCAAACCTGACCTGGGTTTTGCATGACGTGTGAACCATAAGATTACATTAACCTGCCTTACGATTTCTGGGGATTATTGTTGCTGAATATGTGGAACCAGGGTTTATCTTTTAGGAAGTACAGAATTAACTAGCCATAGAAATTGCCGAGAAAAGAAGAGAAACCAAAGCCACGAAAGACAGAAATCTTAGGAAGAGAGTTTTAGAGAGCTGTTAGAAGAGACAAGAAGCAATATTGCAACAACATCTATAAAGATACTGAAGATGGAAACAGACATGGAAAAACAAGGTTCCAACCTTGAATTGATATGCTCAAAGACACCAATGAAGAGATAATAACTGATTCAAAGATCAAAGAAAGATGGAAGGAGTACAGTACTGAAATACTGTACAGTAGAGATGTCAACATCCAAGATACCTTAGAAGTTATTCCTTACTTACAAAAACCTCTAGTACTAAAAGTTGAATTTATATCAGCACTCGAGTCTTTACCAAGTTGAAAGGCTAGAGGAACTGATGGAATACCCATTGAAATATGGCAAGCAACAGAAGAAAAATCAGTAAAGGTTCTAACCAAGCTGTGCCAGTAAATCTGGAGAATGACACAGTGGTCAACAAATTTGAAGAGGTCAATCTACATTCCAGTACCAAAAAAGGAGACTTAACAGAGTGTACAAACTATCAATCAATATCCTTAATTTCACTTCCTAGCAAAATAATGCTTAGGATCATCCAATGCAGGTTAGAGTCCTACATGGAAAAAGAGATGGCAGATGTTCAAACTGGCTTTAGAAAAGGCCAAGCAACACAAGATATTATTGGTGATGCACTCTGGATAATTGGGAAAGCTGAAGAGTACCAAAAAGAAGTCAGAATGTGGTTCATTGATTATAAAAAGGCGTAAGACTGGGTTGATCATGTCAAGCTGTAAAGATGCACTTAAAAAAATTGGAATCCCAGAACATCTCATTGTCCTCATGAGAAACCTATATACAGGTCAGGAAGCCACAACAGACAGAACATGGCAACTGGCTCCAGGCAAAGGAGTGGGACAAAGCTATATACGCTCCCCTTATTTATTCAACCTATATACCAAATATAGAGAGCCAGTTTAGTGTAGCGGTTAAGGAACTAATCTAGAAACCAGGAGACCATGACTTCTAGTCTTGCTTTAGGCATGGACCCAACTGAGTGACCTTGGGCCACTCACTCTCTCTCAGCCCTAGGAAGCAGGCAATGGCAAACCATTTCTGAAATCTTGCCAAGAAAACTGCATGGACTTGTTCAGGCACAGTCACCAGGAGTCAACACTGACTCAAAGGCATACATCACACACACACACACACACACACACATTGAATATATATTAAGAGAAGCAGGATTGGAAGAAGATGCGCATAGTTTTAAAATTGGAGGAAGAAACAACAATAACCTGTGCTATGCTGATGACACTGCTTTGAAAGCCAAAAATGCAAAGGATCTGCAAGCTATAGTAAAAAGTCAAGGAGCACAGTGAAAAAATGGGTCTAAAATATAAAGAAGATCAAACTAATGACAACAGGTACAACAACGAGACTTGGAATTGACAATGAAGATGTTTAAGTGATAGATAGCTTCATCCTTTTAGGATCAACCATCAACAGTAAAGGAACCAGCAGTCAAGAAATATGCCATAGACTAGCACTTGGTACAGTAGCAATGAAGGCCTTGGAAAAGATATTCAGATGCCCTGATGTGTCTATACCTACAACAATCAGAATTGTGCAACCCATGGTATTCCCTATGACACACTATGGAGGTGAAAATTGAACTTTGAAGAAGCAGGATAAGAAGTGCATTGACGCTTTTGAACGTTGGTGTTGGAGAAGACTCCTGAGAATACGGACAGCCAAGAAAAGAAACAAATGGATCATCAAACAAATCAACCCACGGTTCTCACTCGAGGTACAGACAACCAGGGTCAAATTATCATACTTTGGACACAGTATGTGAAGACCTAGCTCACTGGAGAAGGCTCTACTGCTGGGAAAGGTGGAAGGAAAGAGGACAGCCAGCAGCAAGGTGGATGGACTCAGTTACAGTGGCAATGGATATACCGTTGGAAGACCGGAAGGACCAGATTAGGGACAGATCATCATGGAGAAAACCTCTCTATGTGGTCACTTAGAGTTGACACCAACTTTATTGCTCATAATCAATCAATAAAAAATGTACAGAACTGACTGGCCCAACATCAGATTGCTCCAGCTTTGGATAGGGCTCAGGCACTGCATGAAGCCATAATATGGTCTGCTTGTTTGTGGCTCTGCATGTAAACCCAAATAACTGGTTTAACAATAAGGTATAAAAATAATGGTTTAGCATGATATGTGAACCCCCACCTGCCTATTACTTCTCTTGTGGGTTTCTAATAGCATTTTCTTGAGTCTATCACATCTGAAGGCATCACCCTGAAGAACACCATTCCAATTCTGTATCAGCAGCACCTCCATCAAAGAGACAAAGTCAAAATGTGTTTGCTTGTGGCTTAGCTTGTTTTGTCATTTGTAAAGGTGATTTATGGTTTAAGGTACTTCAAAAACCCACTCATTATTGTTTATTCAGAAAACGTTTGTTAAATGTTTGCTTAAGAGAGTTATATGACCATTTCAACAAAAGAGAATACAACAACCCCATTGGTTAAGGCATGCTCCTCAGATGCCAGCATGGTTCCCTGCAGGGCCTTGACCTGGCCTGCTTTCTCATGTCCTGAGTAATTTGCATGAGGAAAGGACAACAGATGATACTGGAGTGGATTATTCTGACAAGCATTAAAATAAGACTGGCCTCAGGTCAAGGATGGACAAGTTTTTGGGTGGAGGGTAGCATTTGATCTTTGAATGGCAAGCCAAGGGCAATGCTTTGAAAAAGAAGATAGGGCCAGGATTTTAAAAAAATCCCAACCATAAGAAAAATCCATTCCAAATCACACTGAAAACAAAAAAGTTTAAATATGACAACATGGTACTTTGGTGTTAAATTTCAACAGCAATCGTGGAAAGAGCAGTTTCTATTAAAGGGACCACCCACATTTTACTCACTCCTGTGTTAAATAACAGAAATATAAGAAATGGCTTTTCTACTAATCCAAGGAATCTTCTTTTAGTTTTATATCTTTTCCCAGCCCCAGCTTCATCACCACTACCACTATCATTTATCAACTGCATACAGTTGCTGGAAGAGCAAATCAGTGAAAGACAGACAAAGAGGCATTTTAAATTACTTGGAACTCTTCCTTACTTAATTTAGACTGGCACTTTCTTCACTTCTACCCCTTCTTCAATAAGCAATTTGATTTAATCTCTACATGGCTCCTAATAAACTTCAGTGAAGCATATTAACAAGTTGCAACCTACCCAATTTCATAGACTTACTCTAAATACTGTACTATACTATGCTGTGCTGTGCTATACATGCCCATTGTATGTTATGTATCCATGTTTCTGATAGCATGCTTAGATTGGCTACATATTTTGAAGGAAAAAGAAAGCAACAAAAAAAATCAAGATCTGAGGCCAAGATGAGTTTCCTGCCCCAAATAATCTTTCATTACCTTTTAACTTGTACTTGAAGATACCAGCTGCCAGTGACAACATTTTTGGAAGGAAACAGCAGCTGGTAGGTGTATTGGGACTTCAGGTCCTCTCCTCAGTAATGCTGAGAATTCCAGAAACTGCAGTCTCAGTACGTCTGGATGGCACTGGGTCACAGAAGGCTAGATTATTCTTGCATGCAGTCTATGATTGTGGGGCTGAATCCTTGCCATCAGTCCCTTGCCATTGTCAGATCACTCACTATTAGCCCTGGAAATCTCTAGCCATTCCTTACTGCAGGGAGGGCGAATCTGTTTGATCAGCCTACCCCAGGTCGATGGACCCTGTTGGATTTCAGAGGAATTTTGGGTTGTTCCTGATGCATGGTTTGACTGAGTTCCTGGTTGCCAGTTAGAATGAAGGAATGGTCATGGCCTTGGATCAAACCACACCTGTGCAAACTCTCACTGCCCATCGATTCCAGAGAGCTCCATGGTTTTTTGGGGAACTCCAGGAGATAAAAAAGCAAAAGAGCAAAAGAGACGTCTACCATGCTACTGGAAGAAGAGCAAATCCAATTGAGCATGGGTAAAAGCCTTTCTTAAGGATTATCATAGCCATTTTTCTGCCAGCTACCTTGTTTAGGGTAATGCAGTCTCCTCTGGGGAAAGAGGGGGCTGGAGGAATAGCTACAGGGGCACTGTGAAGATTACTCTAAGCGTCTGTCAGATAAAATTGCTCTGATTCACTGAGTTAGACTCTTAGAATAGACTAAGATACAGTCTAGTGCAGTTATCTGGAAAGAGCTTCAACCTGTTGATCCTGAGGAAGTTAGATAAAATTGTCAGTTCTGTGAGCACAGCCACCTGTGTATTAGATCCTTGTCCTTCTTTGTTGGTTAAGGCCTTCTCAGGAGAAAAACAAGTGGTTGGATCCAGGTGGTAAATGCATCCTTGATGGAGAGTGTGGTTCCCCCGGCTCTTAAAGATGCAATGGTCTGTCCTTTCTTCAAGAAGCATCCCTAGATCCAATGGTACTGGGCAATTTTTGTTTGGTCTCCAACCGTCCCTTTTAAGGAAGGTTGTTGAGAAGGTATTTGGTTTACAGCTCCAGAGGACCCTGGAGAAAACAGATTATCTGGATCCCTTTCAGTGTGGTTTCAGATAGGGACCTGGTGCTGAAACAGCCTTGATCACACTTGTAGATTATCTTTGGCAGGACCAGGATGGGATAGTGCATCCATCTTAGCCCTACTTGATTTCTCAGCAACTTCAATATCATTGACCAATTTTTCTGTATTGTCTTTGAAATTTAGGAGTGGGATGTACACTGTTCCAATGGTTCTTTTCCTACCTCCAGACCCGTTTCCAATCAGTGTTGGTGGAGCAGAATAGATCTAGCTTGAGACCTCTGCTTTCTCTCTCTCTTCCATCCTATTTAATATCTACATGAAATTGCTAGATGAGTCAGTAAGTCAGCTATCAATAACCTGATGATACCGTTATAAATCTATGCCCTAGGCCAAACCAAGTGATGTTGCCTAAGTTTTTTCCCAGTATCTGTTGAACAGACTTCAACTTAACAGAAGACTGAGTGGCTGTGTGTGTGTGTGTGTGTGTGTTTTGTGGGGGCTGCCTTTGAGTCAGTCTTGACTCCTGGCAACTGCCTAGATTAGTACCTCGAATTTTCTAGGTAAGATTTTTCAGAAGTGGTGTGCCCTTGCCTTTTTCCTAGGGCTGAGAGAGAGGCTGGCTCAAAGTCACCCAGCTGGATTCACGCCTTGATGTGATGGAACGGAATTATGAAGGGCACTGCAGCCAAGTGGGCTACCCCCATCATAGAGACAGGGGATCCAATGCTCAACAACTACCAGAATTTCGTCATGGCTTTCAGGGGGCATTTTGGAGATCCAGAGAGAAGATTCTTGCTAGAGGTTGTAGCTAATAAACATAGCTGGACTGAATTTGCAT